AGTCTTCTAAATCCTGCCATGAATCTTGGATTCTGAGTTTTGTATCTTCATGGGCACTGAAAAAACAAACAAATATTTTAAATTGAAAGGATGTGTAAGGTTTAAGAATATTCTCAACATTTTCATTATTTCGTAGAAATGGAATTTTAAAGAGAAAAACGAATTACTTAATAAAACTTTACTCTGCTTTTCTCTCTTTGCCTTATATACATCAGCTATGAAAGAGGTGATACCTGGGAGTTAGCTATAAGGATAAGGAGTGTCAGGCAAGCAGTTTCATCAGCATCACTCAGGGCTGTGTGGTGAGTTGTTATGCAAGTACGGGACTATAATCCCAAATAAGTAACTTCTGGCAGTTTCCTCCAAGTGGCATCATTGTGGTGACACCAGCACCTCTTACCTAGGAGAATCCATGACTTTGGCTTTTTCCTTGCAGGGCACAGCCTATGTTTCTTGACTCTTGGTATTCACAAACTCTTCCTCCACACCAGCCTGCTTCAGAGTGTCCCGAAACCGCTGTTCTGCTTCTTTCCTGGCCAGCGCCTGTGGAGTGGAAGCTGGCTGACTGTGGCAGTCTCATGACTTACGATTCTGAGTTTAGCTGGGTAATCAATCTTTATAACACTGCCCATCCACCATCCCCATCTTTAGTGCTAGACCAAAGTTGGCATATTTTAGAGCCTTATATTTTTAGCCATAGTTTGTAAAATGAGTACCATGGGGATCTTGTTCAAATGCAGGTTTTCATTTATTAGGTCTCCATTTATTTATGGGGTTTACAATTCCATATTTCTAACACTCCTAGGAGGTGTCAGCTCTTTAATTTGTGAGCCATACCTTTGAAAAGCATCCAAACCTTCAGGTAGACTAACATTAAAGATACTTAGCAGGAGGAGGATGGTCAGCATATAGCTAGAAGGCTATCTTGATTTACATATCCAAGAACAAAACCACAGGCTACTTTCTATTCTGTTCTAGAATGTTGAAAGATCTGTGAGGAAAAGAAAAGCAAGCTTACTCTACAAAATGAACCTAAAGAGCTCAGCCTACATCAATTCTAGATGCTCTAGTGGGGGAAAGGGCACTGTAGGAGGAGGAGACCCACCAATACCTAGGATATCACACATGCTCTATGATGGAGCTTATGCCCACAAGGAACCGCAAGCCAGGCGCAGCACTTAACTGCCTAGGGAAGGTCTTTCTGGGTGTTCAAAGGCTCCAGAGCTTCCTTAGGGAGAGCTCAATTGAATTTACCTTCTCTTAAAATCCAGAGAATGTTTTCAAAGGATTGCTTTAGCCTAAAAGCCACGTAATTTGGAAAGAGCCTTGTGGCATGCTTCTAAACACACTGACCTTTAAGGACTTATGTTTGGGTAAAATGGCATTAATAAAGCAAGTTATCATTATAAGCAATGTAAAAGTTGGTGGAGGGGGGTGCATGGTACAATCCCACCACAGGGGAAATTAAAGTAGAAGGATGGTAGGGTCAAGTCCAGCCGGGGCTCAGTGAGTTATAGGTCAGCTTGAACTTCTCAAATATCAGAAGTTCAAGTTCATTGTCCCTTGGCCCTGTCACTTTGGACTTCTGGCAAGGCTGAATATTATAGATGTGGTAGCATATGGCAGAGGCCTTGCCTGTCATGGTGGCCAGGAATCGAAGAGAATGTCTGTGTGTCTGTGCCTTTTAGTGCACCTGGGCCCCCAGCCTATGAGGTCATGCTGTCAAAATTCAGGGTGGGTCTTGTTTCCTTAGCTAATTCTTTTGGAAAACCCCCTCACAGACACCCAGAAGTGTATTGTATTCACTTCGGTCATTCAGTACAATCAAACTGAAAAGATTAACCATCATGGAGTTCAATAGAGAATGTCTGAGTCTTAAAAAAATGTTTGATACTCACATAGTAAAATCTTTTCACAACAGTCTTTACCTTGGTAACTTGTTCAAAGAGAAAAGGCCTTGCTTGTATTCTTTTCTTCATTTCCTCCAGTTCTTTTTTGTATTCCTTTGCTCTTTTACGGTCATTGTTCCTGGAATTAACAAGGTTTCTGGAAGCAACCAATCTTTTTCAATCAGAGAACCCTTCATTCAAGTTATGCAGAGTCATTCCCATGTACACTGTAAATTCCTACAGCCCCAACAAAATCTGTGGTTTACTCTGATGACATAGATTACCCTAATGACTCCATTTTGCCATTTCAAAACCAGTGATGTGCTGGGACCTAAAACAGGCATCCCTCTGAAAATGGAGGATACTGACCGGTTCTCTTTAAGCTTCACTTTGAACACCTCTTTCAGGCTTTTATGAGGGTCCATGGCTTTTGCCCGCAAGGCCACTAATTTAGACATGGCTTGACAGTTCTTCTTGTGCATCTCCAGCCACTGAATGCTCTTGTCTTGTTTGTCTCTTTTCTCAAGTGACATTCTAAAGGAGAGAGAAAGAATAGCAGATGACCTAGGTGCATAAGCAGTCTTAGGAACATCTCTGGAATGTCAGTGTTTGTTTATGTGTATGGTGGGAGGTGGATGGTATATTCAGGTGTGATGCAGGGGTCCCCAGGGTCCAGAAGAGGGCATCAGGTCTGCTGGGGCTGGAGTTACAGACAGTTGTGAGCCACCAAGTAAGTGTGGATGCTGCGACCCTTTTTCAAGTCCTTTGCAGTACAGGCTCCTAACTACTGAGCCATCTCTCCAGCCTCTAGTTGGTGTTTCAATGAATAAGATTTCCTATAAACTTGCCATAGCTACATTTTCAGAAAGAATGATTCTGGGGATAGGCATGGTGGCACACACCTTATAATCTCAGCACAGATGTTCAATGAGTTTGATGTCAGCCTGGCCTCCATGGAACCCCATCTCAACAAACAACTATTTTAGTGTGGAAAGCAATGTCAAATGATGCCTTTCCTGTACTATGGGTCTTGTGATTTCCCACACAAGAGAAATTCATTGATTGAGCAGAACAGACAGGGTAAAATGGCCTCACATGGTCAGCATTCAGTAGATTTGTTTCCCTTGTCTGGAGCAGTACCAATAGCTACCATTTACCAAGCTGCCTACTGGGAACCAAAGGCCATTACATCTTATGTAATTCTCACATGTCCCTGATAAGGCAGACACAGTAGGCCCCCTTCTCACAGAGGACAGAATCAGAATGCATCTTCTTCACAGTTACTCAGCATGCAAAGGAAAAGCCGAAACTAGAACCAGGATGGCAGATTCCCCAGTTTGCTCTTGACTGCTGTGCTGTGACAGGTTCACAGTTCTCTGAGAGTACAAATCTTCATTTCTATAAAGACCTGGAAACAGGCCTCCTTTAATGTAGATCATTTGGGTTCAACTACAGCACTCAGTTTGCGTAATTATTCTAGAGTTCTGTGGTGGGTTCCACCAGAAGACAAAATAAGGAAGACTCTGCACTTAGAAATACATTCAACAGATCAGGAAGAAGGGCACAAAAGCTTAATCTGCCAAAACATCCAGCTCCCTGTTTTCAGAAAGTAGGTATGATATTCTCTGTAGGTAGGCTGCCTCTTGTTTGTACGACCTTTTTCTGGGCCTTGTGACACTGATGCGCTTGGCCTAGGGTTACTAGCTATGAAATATGAGGGACAGAGTATCTCTGCATCCTAAATATATTCTTATAAGGTCTGAAGGGCCAGGTAGGGCCCTTCTACACTTGGGAGCCGCCCAGCGGCACTGAGGTGTCAGGCCTTTCCCATGCTGCGCTTCCTGCTAGATTACAGCAACTCCTGCTCACTTCAGAGTCCTGGCAGAGGACTTCCTGCTGACTAAATGAGAACAGACCATAGGCCAGCTGAACTGTCAGAAAATCCACAGACTTGGAGTGTTCGATTGTACAAGGTCCTGAGTTTTATCTCTGTACTGAACCAGAGGGAGAGAGAAAAGAAAAGAAGGGGGGAGGAAGGAAAGAGAAAGAAAAGAGTAGAAAAGGAAAATAGGATTCTTCTTTCCAGCAGTCTCTGACATTCCCCATGGTGAATCTCAGAGCTTGGAAATCTGGGCAATGGGCGTTGTGTCTTGTCTATGGTGAGCCCTGCTACCACTACTATGCTTGAGCCTGAATTTGTATTCTCTACGGCTACCTTTCCCTTTCATACACAGCCTTTTGTTTTGCTTTCGAAGGAAAAGGTCATTGGGCACACCACGAGGGCCAGCAGGCTGAACAATCACAAACAGTACTACTTATGGTCTCATATGCAGGCTTTACACGTTCTTTTTCTGGAAACTAATTTCTCTCCAGCCTTTGTGTGACTCATTCCTCTTTATCCTTTGGAGGGCCAGTTCTCCCAGTATGCATGTGGAAGTCAGGGATAATTCGTCAGTTCTCACAATCTACCAGGTGGGTTCTGGAACTGAACTGAGGTCAGCAGGCTTGTCAGCAAGTGCATTTGTCCACTCAGCCATCTGGCTGGCCCCACTGAATCTTGGATCCCTATTGACTAGACTGGATGTCTAACAAGTTAGAGGACTTGCCTCTTTCCATCCACTGCTCACCTGGAATCGCAAGACTTGCCAGCACACTGACATTTTCCTTGGGGGCTGGGGATTTGAACTCAGGTCGTCATGCTTCCACGGCAAAGGCTTTTCCGTCTGAGTCACCTCTCCAGTCCCTTCCTCCTTATTCTTACTCTTCATGTTTTATCTTAGAAACCTGTTCCAAAACATGTGAGGCCACTACCCTAGGCTTCCCTGTGCTGTCATAGTCCTCTGTACTTTCACTGCTCATAAAACAGACTGCACATAACACAAAGTTCTCCAGGGCACCTCCAGCTTAGCATTGTGTCTTGTACAGATTAAAGGGATTTGCTGGACGATAGCGCATACCCCTGTCCCATCAGAGAATTTCTTCACCCCCTGGAGGTGTTTCTGATGACCAGCAGCAGCAGGACCACTCACTCAGGAGCCTGCTGTGGCCTCCTTACTCACCGGACTGTAGACTGCCTCTTCCTGGTCACATCTGAGATGTGCACGGGGAGGGTGTTGGCGGAAAACGAAGTAATACCATTTAGAGACCGACTCGGTGGCAAGGGTGTGGCTCCTGGCTGAGGGGACTTCTGCAAGAGTGGAGGGTGGGCATTGATGGCAATATGTGATTAGTTTCTATCTTCATTAAGATTTGGCGTCACTGAAGGACTAGCAATGCGACTGTTTCCCCTGCCCCTGGGGATAAGGTGAACAGGATCTTCCTTAGTTACAAGGCCCACACTCACATATCAGGCTTAACGTTTTTAATCAAGTGAGAAGACTTCTTGGAATTGTGTGACTGCTTTTGTCAATTTAACATACTCTAGAGTTACTTGGGAAGAGAACCTCAGTGTGGAACTGTCCAGATCAGGCAGGCCTCGGGGCATGTCCATTGGAGCTGTCTTGATTATATCAAGGTGGCTTTCCGTCTAGAGTGTAAGACTGGAGAGAGGGGCAGAGCACGAGTGTGCATTCACTAGCTCTTTGCTCTGTAACTATGAGCCCCTGCCACTTTACTTTCCAGCCATAACAGACTGCGGCCTGGGCACGTGCCTTAAAATAAACCATCTCTCCCTCCAGCTGCTTTGCTCCAGGTGTTTTATCATAGCAACAGGAAGCAAAGCTAAGACAGACTGGGCTCTCAGACCTTCTTGGACTTAACATTTGTAAAACCTCTCTTTGGAGGTGCGAAAGGGAATATTCTTGTTTTCAATTTATAGAATGTAGATCTGTGTGCAATGGAACAGATGTTCAAAAATAAAAATTAAGACGGGAAAGTGTCAAGACAAATGTCAAGTCCCTTTGAGACCTGGGCTTACCCTGCTGTACCTCAGGCCTGACCCTGATACTTGCCTGGACTCTCAGCCTCCCTCCTCCTGCAGGGGCGGCATCACAGGACCGTGGAGCGTGACACAGGTTGGCAGTCCTTAGCAAGAAGGGCTTGTTGCGAGTTGTCTCCTGGGTCTCCCTTCTCTCAGCAGCTCTTTTCTGGAAAGCCCTGTAAAGGCCCTCATAGTCGGGGACCACAGCGTTCACCCGAGGCTGGAATCTGAAGTCGGTCTGTAGAAAGCTGAGCTTTTCCTCCTGAGTGCGGGTAGCAGTGCGGGGAGCCCGGGGCCTCTGGGTGCTGATAGGGGATGAAGCCATCTGGAGCATGTCCGTGGCCCTCATCTGGATTCGAATCTTCCTGAGGAGCTCCGCTTCTATGAAGAGGGCAGGGAGAGAAGAGGAGGGGCAGCAGGTCTGGAGCACACCCACGGCCTTTTGAGACAGACTCACTATGTAGCCCAGATTGGTCTCTGACTATCTAAACCCTCCTGCCTTGACCTCCTGAGTAGGTAAGATTACAGGCACAGGCAACCACAGGTCCAAGCTTTCCCTCCTTTAAGCACTAACAGTAGTGTGCTAAAGCCAGTGGTAAACAATGTCAAACAAAGTTCACAATCATACACCCCCCCAAATTAGCTTCTCTCCAAGATGAGGGACGAGGTAGTGGTCTTTCCAGAAGCAGCAGGCTGGAGATGGCACTGGCTGATGGAGATCCTTTATTTCTCGTAGCTTTTGCTTCCATACCTCTGCTAGTCCAGAAGCTTTCACGTGTGCTTACTGAGAAAGGTCACCAGGTTGGGCCAGGTGGGAAAGGGATGCTGTAGGACCTCCCTATAGACCAGTGGTTCTCAACCTGTGGGTCTCGACCTCCTTGGGGGTCACACATCAGATATCCTGCATATCAGATATTTACATTATGCTTCATAACAGTAGCAAAATTACAGTTATGAAGTAGCAGCAGAAACAATTTTATGGTTGGGGGGGTCACCATAACAGAAGGAACTATATTAAAGGGTTACAGCATTAGGGAGGTTGAGAACCGCTGCAGGACAGAACCAACGCTTTCTGCCGGCCTGCACAGAATATGCGTAATCTCCACACCAGTGTAATCCCTGAATCTTGATCCTAAATCCCTGTAGTGCCTCTGGGGACCCCAGGCGAGAGGTAGCCAGAGGTGCCAAGAGTATCCTTACCCTGGAGTTTCTCACCAAGGGCTGGTTCCAGAATGGACTTGGGGATCCTTCTAATGGCTTTCTTTGTGGGGATGTTGGTCTGAGCCACGGCAGCCAACTCTCTCTGTGAAGCAGCTACCTCTTGCTTCTCTTTCTTTTCCTGGAAGCTGAAGGGCTTCATGGAGGAGAGAAGAAACTCCTTCCTCTTCTGGATACCCACACGCCTCCGTGCCTCTCTGCACTCCATGATCTCCTGGTAGAGGGGCAGGTAGACATGTGCGGGCACAGGCTGGGCCCGGAACCGTCGATGGCACTCAGCCTCCTCCTGGCCCTGCCTCTGGGCCCGCAGCCTCTCCTGCTCAAAAGAGGCAGGTGAGGCCAGCCACTGGGCCTTCTTCCGGGCTTCACGCAGTGTCATGTGGAAGGGCTTAGGGATAGTGATGGAGGATGCCCAGGAGCAAACACTTCTGTGCTGGGAGGGAGGCCCAGAGTCTGAGGTTGGCCGGACCTGAGCCTTGGTAATGTCAGAGGGAAGGCTGATCAAGGAGCTGCAGCGCCACATGGAGTCAGGCCTGGGGGAGAAAGCAGCTCTGTGTGTGCATCCAGCAGTGAGAAGGCATGCCCATCCCCAACCAGCCTCCCTGTCCAGGAGATAACCTAGCCTTGATCCCAAAGCCCTGAGGGCCTCTAAGTTTCTAACCTTACCAGCTGGGCTTCCCTTCTTGGCGCAGGCAATCTTAAGAGCCCAAAGGGAACTATTTTCTAAGAACTCATGCAGAAATTGCCACTTTGCGTTCTGATAACTGCATACAGTGTAGTGGGGTAGCACAAGGCCACAGAGTCAGAAGGATGAAATCCAAACTTTGAGGTTTTGGATTTCCCACGTAGAGTGGCAAGAATAATATCCACTTAGAAGGTTATAGGGAAGAGAGTACATAGTAAATTCAATAAAGGCCAGTGTGGCATGACATGTCTGTTTCCAAGCCTTGAAAGGTGTAACTGGGAAGTTCAGGACTTTCAGGCTAGGCTGGGCTACATGAGACTCTGTCTTGGAAAAAAAAAAAAAAGGATAAAAGCATATATATACATTGACAGACTTGGCCACAGACAATGAACCTTGTCATTCTTGGAGGAAAAGATGCTTGGGAAAGGCTTCCCTTTGGTCAGTCATACTGCTTCATGAACTAGGTAAGTGTTGCCCGGAGTTATATAGGATCTCTAGGTAAGAATCAAAACATATGGGCTGGAGAAATGGCTCAGCAGTCAAGAACATTTGCTGCTCTTCCAGAGGATCTGGGTTTGAGTCACAACACCCACATCATAGTTCAGAACTGTCTGTAACTCCAGCTCCATGGAATCCAATGTTCTTCTGTTCTCCGTGGTCACTAGGCATGAACTTGGTGCACAGATAAGCAAGCAAAACACCCAGAGACATAAAATATTCTTTTAAAAAAAGCACAACATGCAGTTGGATCCAAGAACCAACTGGGCTGGATCTTAGATAAGAGACAACTTGCAGAGGTGGTCTTACAGCAAAGGCAAGGCCTTGAGATGTGGTGTAACTAGCTGGAGTGCTGGAGTGTGGCAGCCACTGACTGTAATGTCTTACCTAAGAGATGGCGGGTCCTGGACCTGCAGCTTCCCGCTTCTCTTGTCTGGGAAGAAATTCTCAAAGACGTCCTCCTCTTCATAGCCATCCTGATCCTTGTCTAGATCAGACTGAAAGAGAGACGGCAAAAGAGACCACCTGCCTTTCTGCTTTGGAGGCTGTAGGGTCCTGTAAAAGTTTCCAGTGGTGTCAGAAGTAGAATCTGTCTCCTCATCTAGGCTGAGGAACTCATGGAGTTGGCCAGCTCTGAGGAAAACCAGCCCTTCTCCAGACCGCTCATCTTCTGGCTCACGGTCTGACGAGGACTTGGAGGAAAATATCTAAAACGAAACAGAGATCAGTTGTGAGTTAAACTCTAGTGCAAAGGTTGTCAAAACACGGCTTTGACTTCACGTCGAATATCTCAGTCTATCAGGGACTAGATGGAGCAACAGAAAATAACATGTGTTTTTCCCTCAGACGACATTTCAGGAGATGGGGTAGGTATATGCCTGCCTGTGCGCAGCAAGGGTGGCAGAAGAGCAATACCAGTTCTCTTCTCCATTCAGTATAGAAAGCACTGAGGACCTAATGGAGCCCCACATTCTGTTCTCAGTGCTCCAGGAATCCTGCCCATGACCTTGGCTACCTGCTGCTCCCAGGTTCCCTTGGGAATTTACATAATTGTTACCAATCTTCCTTCTCTTCCTTTCCCGTTGACACACTCTTTTCATATCCTAACCAATTTCTGATAATCTACCAGGAATGGATGAGCAACACAGAAAGTGGAATTCCCAACCAGCTTTTAAATACTTAAAGGGCTAGCAATGAATCTCAGTGGTTGAGCTCTTGCCTAGCATGCTCAAGGGGATCAAAGGCTGGCCTTACTTCCCAGCACTGTAAAGCAATCAATGGTGCCAAGACTACATTCATCCATTCATACACACAAGAAAATGTGGATTGGGCGCCTAGTATGTCATGAAGCCTGTATTCTAGTGAGAGCAGGTGGAAAACACAGGACGGCAGAAATATGCCGTCGGAAGGCTTTTCTGCTGATATGCATCAGAGGTCACCAGGAATGCACCATGATTAAATCTACCAGTTTGTTGCACAACATCATGGAGCACCATAGCAAATGTGTAGGGACAGATTTTAGGATCAGCATGTTCTGACCCTGCGCGGAGGAGCATGATGAGTGGATAACTGATCCATTTTTTAGTGAGGAGGTAACCAGTGAGAAGCAAGCACGATCACTTGGAAGAAAGGAGTGCTAGTAAGTCCATAACTGTGTTATGGACCCAAGAAAAACACTTTTTTTGTTGTTGTTTTTTGTTTGTTTTGGTGCTCTTGCTTTGGGCCGAGGCTGTGTCTGTTAGGCTGACTGCAAATGCTCTTTCACTCATGACAAGGTCATGTTCAGACAAACCTGTTCTAAGTTAAAGTATTTTAAGTTAGATTGCACTAATACATTAATCTAATGAACATCTACCTTACCAACAGAGGGCACTTAGAGAATATCTATTGTTCACTCTCCTGATTGTGTGACTCACTAGAAGGTGCAAGTTACTCTCATTGTGTCACCAACACAGTATTTTATTGCCATTCAGAGAAAGGCTGAAATCTGGGGCTTGGGATTTAGTTCTATAATAGAATGCTTACCTAACAAGCACATGGTCCTGGGCTTGGTCCCCAGGAACACAAAACATAAGTTTAAGGTATTTTTTTTCCTACTGAATGCATATTGCATTTCTCCCACTGTAAAATTGAAAGGTGAACTGAACCACTGATGTCAGGAATGTCTAATTTCCTGTCTTTAGGCAGATTTTTATTTTTATATTTTATTTTATTTCGGTTTTTCAAGACAGGGTTTCTCTGTTTAGCCTTGGCTATCCTGGGCTCGCTTTGTAGACCAGGCTGGCCTCGAACACACATAGATCTGCCTGCCTCTGCCTTCTGAGTGCTGGGATCATTGGTGTGCGTCACCGTACTCAGCTGATATCTATTTTCTTAACTGAATCTTGTAATGATAAATTGGGCTGGTGTGGCTGGAGGACAGTAGTCTGAAATGTCATTAGAGCGGTAGGTGCAGGCCAGGAGGGGGACGTAGAATAGTAGTTGCAATTGGAGCAGCCCTTCTGAGTTAAAGTATGTATGTGCTGTGACCCTAGCTCTGTTACTGAGAGTATGTGCTCCAGAGCAAAATTCCCCCTTCCCTCCTTTTCTCCCCAGCTGCTGTGACAGTGTCAAAGGGTGACCTTGAAGTCTTGATCCTCTGTTTTACTATCTAGCTGTTGGTATTACAGGTCTGAGCCATAATGCTGGCTCTTTCTTAAAAAACAAAACAAAGCAAAACAAAACAAAAACAAAAACAAAAACAACTTTATTGAAGCACAAATGTCCAGAGTTACAGCCCAACTGTTCAAAGTGAATAATTCACTGGTTTCTAATATAGTCAGAGTCTAATATACTCTCACAGTATAATTCAGAACATTTTCATCATTCCCCTAAGTCACTGGTTCTCAACCTTCCTAATGCTGCTACCCCTTAATATACTTCCTCAGGCTGTCAGGACCCCCAACCATAAAGTTATTTTCGTTGCTACTTCATAACTGTAATTATGCTACTGTTATAAATCGTAATGCAAAGTTTTGATGTGCAGGATGGGCTGAGGTGACCCCTAAGGGGTTTCAATGAACAAGTTGAGACCTGCTGCCCTATGAAACCACTATAGCTTTGGTAGTCATTTATTTCCCACCCTGTCCTCCCACCCTGTCAGCAACCGCTGCGCTACTTTCCGTCCCTATAGCTTTGGGGAGCAAATTGCTTAATCTATCTGTTTTCTCTACTAGAAAATGGAGTTGAGAGAATACACACATACAGTGTAATGAGTTTTAGTATATTCGAAGCGCTGCAAATTCACAACTCTATTAGTTTCGGTACACTTTCCTTCCTCTAAAACAGCAAAGAAAACCTTGAAGCCTTGTAGAGGCCTCTCCCCGTTTCTCCCCACCTCCTCAGCCCCAAAGCAATGACTCGCCCTCTAGATTTGCCTTTCCTGGGTCATCATATGGTGGATGGAGATCACTTTAATAGTTTCAAGGCTAACTCGTGGTTTGTTATTGCTGCATTTCCCCGATGTGAGAGCCTGGTGTAAGACACAAATGGTCCACGTCCCCGAGACAGACTCTCTCAATGCCTAGGCGCTGCCCATTTTCATTCCACGCCCTTCGGTGACACGCCCCTGGCTCTGTCTCCACGGCAACTACAAACAGTTTTCCTCTCTCGGGGATTCCTTTCTGAGGCACCCTGCTTCCTCGTTTCTCCGCTCACCTCACGGCTACACTCGCCGCACTCGGGGGCTTCCGCAGACCTCCCCACAGTCATCTTCCTAACCAGAGGCAGAAGCAGACGTGACAGCGAGACGGCGACAGAGACGCGGGAGGCGAGGCACTGCTGGCCACGCCCCTTTTGTAGTGTTAGCCTCGGATTGGCTGCCAACGAGGCAGGAGACGCTTTCCGATTGGCTCATTTTCTCCGCGCACTTTACTTCCGGTTCTGACAGGGCCGCGGCGGCCCAGGGTTGAAAGACTCTGCCCCGGAAGCACTATTGAGGGCGGGTCAAGGGGGAGTCCAGGGCGCTTGCGCAGGCCTGACCTACTATGGCGGTTCGCTTTGGCGCCTTGACCTCCTTGCCTTGCGTTCGGTGGTCCGGTGCCGTGCCGCTTGCGGCCGGACGGGACCCGCTAGTTGCCTGTCGGCGATGGGCGGGCTCCTCGACAGACACTGTGTACGATGTGGTGGTCTCAGGAGGAGGCCTGGTGGGCGCTGCCATGGCTTGCGCCTTGGGTAGGTGCATCTTGACTGTGACGGGGTAGCGGGCAGCTGAGGGACAGTCCTCCCAGTGGGAGTCGCGGTGCTGCCCAAAGACCAAGCGTGCCTGACCTGGTGGTTTGCTCACTACCCTCGCTCTGGCCTGCAGGAATGGACACGGTGCTTCAGTCTTGTGGGCCTTACAAGTCAATCCCTCGGGGACTTACTAGACCCTTGGGAACGGCCCAGTGTTGTTTGTTTCTGCGGTATTGTTTTTTTTAGGAGACCAGCTTGGCCTCAACACTCCCTTGCCTCTCTCTCGAGTGGTAGCATTAAAGGCCTGCGCCAATACTTCTGGCCCTACAGCTAGCTGCTTCGTGAGGGTACAGTTCACATAGTTGTAAGCCCTCCTGCGTAAGGCGTACAATCCAATGAATTTTTAGTACGTTCGCAGAGCTATACAGCCACTACAAAAAGCTTTAGTACATTTTCCTTACTCTAAAACCAAAAAGCAGAAAGTCTTGGAACTCATCCTCTCAGCCGTAGACAGCGGCTCTCCTATTTTCTGTCTGTAGATTACCTTTTATGGATAGTTATATGTAGCTGGGAATGTACTTAGTGTTCTCAAGGTTAATCCACGTTGCAGCATGTATCAGAACAGCATTCTCTTTGAAGGCCGAAGCAATATTCAATTGTGTGTATGTTCCACATTTAGTTGAGTCGTTTATCTTTCTGTTTTCTGTTTGTTTTGAGACAAGGTTTCACTGTGTAGCTTTGGCAGTGCTGAAATCTGATCTGGCTGGCCTCGAACTCACAGAGATCTGCCTGCCTCTGCCTCCTGAGCGCTGGGATTAAAGACATGCACCACCATCAACCGGCTGGTTGGCTCATTTATCAACTGATACTTGGTTGTGTTCACTTTTGGTCTTTAACAAATAATACTACCAGGAACATTTTGTGTGCAAGCTTTGGTGTGGACAACTTAGTGTTGATTATCTTGAGTCTGTTATTAGCAGTGGAATTTCTGGGTTTTTTTTTGTCCGTTTATTTGTTTGTCCTTTTAGCTGGTAGTGGTTTGTGTTTATATTTCCCTAATGACCAATGGTGTTGAATAAATTTACCAAGGGCTGGCGTTATGTGCTACCATTCCTGGCCTCTTTGAAACTTTAGTGTTCATATTTTTAGTGATTTATTTTCATTTTATGTACATTGGTGTTCTTCCGGTTTGTATGTGTGTGTGAAGGTGTCAGATCCCTGGAACTGGAGTTACAGTTGTGAGCTCCCTTGTGGGTGCTGAAGATTGCACCTGGGACCTTTGGAAGAGCAGCCAATGCTCTTAACCACTGAGCCATCTCTCCAGGCCCTGTTTGTTTTTTGTTTGTTTTGAGACAGGGTTTCTCTGTGTAGCCTTTGCTGTCCTGGACTTGTTTTGTAGACTAGGCTGGCACCAAACTCACAGAGATCCACCTGCTTCTGCCTCCCCAAGTGCTGGGATTACAGCTGTGGCTAATTTCTCCATCCTTAAATCTATTCTTTCAGTTTTATTTTAAGTCTTCCTACTCCTGGGGTCAAATAATCCTCCTGCCTGGGTAGCCAGGAGTGTAGGTGTGCCCCACTGCATCCGGCCTTTGTACGTTACTTCCAAGAGCTTTTTTATTAAAAAAAAAAAAGAAAAAGAAAGTCACATTAAATACCTAAGAAATAAAATACATCACCTGGGTGGCTTTTATAATGTGCTTCGAAATTTAATTATTTTCCTCTTAGTTTTCTCTTAACTAACAGACACACAAAGGGTTTGCAGCTTTTGCAGCTGGAAATAATACTGTAAGGGAGGAACTTCGTCTTGCCCTAAGAAATGTGCAACCGAGCAAAAGAGAAATAGAACCAGGAGAAGGGATCGAGAGAGGAAAGCTCCCTTATAGAGGAACAAGCAGCTGGCGTGTGCAGGGGGACAAAGTGTCTGGTGTGAAGAATCCACGTAGGAGGCAGGCTAGGATCATAGAGTGCCGCTGCCCTTAGAGCAAGGGATGGTGTGGTGAGGGACTAGAAAACCCTTTTGAGCAAGCATGGCCGGGTCCTTCCTTCCTGTGGAGCTGCTGCCCAGCAAGAGGGTTCTACCCTCCTGGACTTAATGCCTGTTCCATTGCAGCTGCTTTGGTTTTTACACATTCCTGTGTTAATAGTAATAATGCCTTTTCTCATTTGGATTCCAAACTATTTTTTAAAGGAGGGTAAAGGTATATGTTTTTTTATTTTCCCTTAAGATTTTGCTATTTATTCATTTTTGCGACAGGGTCTTACATTGTAGCAGTGGCTGGCCTGGAACCAACTATGTAGATCAGGCTAGCCTTGAACTCAGAGATCTGCCTACCTCTGCCTCCAGAGTGCTAGGAGTAAAAGCATGCACCACCGCCTCTCTGCCAGAATGCCGCCGTATGGACACAAGTCACATGTAGTCCATCAGGCTGGTTAGGATAAGCAAAGTGCTGGGCAGAGCCGGTGCGCAGGGACAGTGCATGCAGGTGTGGAACTTATGGATGATGTCAGCCACTCTGTCATCTGAAACATCAAACCCTTGTTCCGGAGGGTGCTCACCCTGTTGGAGCCAGAAAGAGAGGCTCGGAGGTTGCGCTGAGTTGCTGCTGGGTCCTGGAAATCCACCACTTGGCCCATGGGATGACCTGCAGCTCTTAAATAAAGTGTGTGTTTTTTTTTTTTTTTTTTTAAAGCATGCATCTCCATGGCTAGCTTGATTTTCTTTGTAAGTGTGTGTATGTTATGTGCAGATGAGTGCAGTGTCCAAGGAAGTCAGAAAAGGGCACGGGTGCCCTGGCTGGAGTTGCAGAGTTGTGAGCCACTGGGTATGAGTGCTGGAGTCTCTCTGCAAGAGCAGTATGTGCTCCTAAATAGCAAGTGTCTCTCTAGTGCTCCCCCACACACACACACACATCGCAAAGTAAAGCCACTAGTATTGCATTTTTCTGGTGATGCCATGTTATTTCTTTTTAACTTTATTGCTAATAGCAAATTTCACTCTAATTGTTATGCAGTCTCTGGAGCTTTCTCAGATACTGGGAGACTGTGCTGCAGGCCTTCTCCCTGTGAAGGTTCCAAGTTCCATTTTTTATTTTTATTTTTTCACTACAGATGTTTTAGGATCAGGTTTGTAGTGTATTTTTTAAAAATAAATTATTTTATCTTGAGACTGCAGTGAATTTTGCTTTTTTAAAATACTCCACTGTTGTATGTTTCTGTTCAGATTTCTCCCACTCCTTGTTTTCTCCTGTGTGTGTGCAGTCCCATGCAGCTATAGCCGAGAGATGAAACCCAAGGCCTTGCTCGTGTAAGGCTAGTGCTGTTGGGCTGTATGCATCCCAGATCAGGAATTGTCAGTTTTAGTGACAATTATTTTCATAAGACTAAGAAATAGATGGTTACAGTTTTGTTTTGTATTGTATTTTTATCCTTCCTTCCTAGTGAATTCTACTCCCTGGGCGATAAATTTTTCTATATTTGCATCTTTGTATGTGGTATGTAGTGAACTCTGTCTGGAAAGGCCTTACAGTTGTGTAGAGTGGCTGTCTCGGATGAAATGGGGGAATGCTGATACTGCTTAGGGTAGTGTTTATCTCCTTCCTAGGAAATTTGAATTGTTACTTTTGCAGTACTGAGGATTGAACTAGGACCTCACACTTGAAAGGCAGGCACACCACCACTGAGCTATGTCCCCAGCCTAGACATTTAATTTCCAAGGCTAAAGGACTAGCTTGTCTTCTTTTTTACTTTGTGTTAGTGTTTTGTTTGTTTTAGAGACATGACTGAAACCATGGCAATCCTTCTGCCTTAGCTTCCAGATGTGAGCCCCCATAGCTGGTTTATACTTGTTTCTAATTGAAGACTTAAAACATAAAAACTACACATATTGAAGCCAGGTATGGTGGCTCACACCTTTAATCATGTCACTTGGGAGGCAGAGGCAGGTGGATCTCTCTGAGTTCAAGGCCAGCCTTTTCTACAGAGTGAGTTCCAGGACAGCCAGGGCAACACAGTGAAACCCTTTCTTGAAAAACCAAACCAAAACAACAAAAACCAAACCAAAACAACAAAACCTAAAAACCCAAAAACCTAAAATTACAGATTAATGATGTACTTTATAATATTTTGATAATGTATACATTGTGTAACTTTAAATCTACTTAAACATTTTTTTTTTCAAGACAGGGTTTCTCTCTGTAGCCTTGGCTGTCCTGAACTTGAGACCAGGCTGGCCTTGAACTAACAGTGACCCGCCTACCTCTGCCTCCTGAGTGCTGGGATTACAGGTGAGCGCCACCATGCCCGCCTCCATTTATTTCTTTATGAGGAAGACTTTCAGAATTCTTGTAGCTTTTAGAAGTGCACAGCACATCATTATTAGTTATGGAGGCTATACTGTTAATTAAATCCTTGGCTTCCCTAAAATGATTTCAAATGTTAATTTTTTTTTTTTTTTCTTTATTTAGGGCATGATATTCACTTTCATGACAAGAAAATCCTGTTGCTGGAAGCGGGTTCAAAGAAAGTCATGGGGAACTTGTCAGACACATACAGCAACAGAGTCAGCTCCATTTCCCCTGGCTCTGCCACCCTTCTCAGTAGTGAGTAGCCTGCCTCCTGGGTCCTACCTCCTTTCTTCAGCTTTCCGGTGGGTGCTGTAGGACAGTCACCAGAGTTGTGAGCGAAAGCTCACAGTGGGGAGTGAGCAAGTGGACTTGATAACGGCTTTGGTTGAAGGTGAGGACTGCTGAATTTGCTCATGTGGCAAGTCCTGGTCTAGGGAGGACATCCTTGGGGCACATGGACCTTCATTTATGCATTAGGCCCTTGCTATTTGGTCTACTGCATCTCTGTGACCTGATGGTGAACATTCTATTCCAAGTTCCAAGTCAGTGCTCAAATGGGTGGGGGAGTCTGCATTTTAAGAGCCCCCTGGGGGGGGGTAGATGGAATTGTTTTCATGTTTATACTAGGTAGTACTCCCTCAGGCTGCCCTGTCTGAAATCATTCTGTCTAGAATTAAATTCCTCAGTCATTTTATATAGCTTTATAGCTCTCTCTCTCTCTCTCTTTTTTTTTTCTTTTCTTTTTTAAAAGATAGGATCTGGCCTTGAACTTAATTTAAATGCTGATCCCTCTGCTATTATGTCCCAACTTCTAGGAGTCTATGAGGCATCACCACTCACAATTTTATGTGGTACTAGGGATTTCGATTGATAATGGAGCTACGTCCTCAGTTCCTAAAGCTTTTTCTTTCTAGAATGACTACCTGACAGTAGATTATACACATGTTCACGTTGTCTGTCTCTCCAGCTAAAATATCAGTTGCACAAGTTTGGTCTGCTCTGGACCTAAAATTATAACTGTTACTTGGTAGCTACCCAGTAAATATTTAATCAAAGAGTGAATCTACTCAGTGCCATGGAGAGTTGAAAAAAAGAAAAAAAAAGGTCTTTTGACCATTATAGCTAATAGCCAAGTAAGGAAAAGAGTATTGGTTTAGTTTTCCTTTCTTATTTTCTCTGCTTTACTGTGATCTGGCCCTTGGGTCTTTTTTCATGCTATATAATCTGGATCTGAGAGTGGAAGGGCTTTGTCCTTAACAGCTCACAAAGTTTTAACCTTCCATGATGGAGAACAGTGAAAACAACCTTCCTAACAGGATGGAGAGACAAAAGGGGGCTCAGGAGCACAGATCATGGAATTCACTGTGTGTCTTTTGCAGGTTTTGGTGCATGGGACCACATCTGCAATATGCGGTGCAGAGCCTTCCGTCGGATGCAGGTGCCTCCTTCCCCTTAACTTTGTTGGGATGTCTTATCTATCTCTTGTTAGCTTGTTAGAGTTCACTTTCTCAAGGCTTTTTATGAATCAAAATTTAAATTCAGTGTGTGGAGGTGGGGCTTTCTTGAGAAAGCTTACTTTTTAATTAATTAATTTGGTCTTTTGAGATAAGGGATGTAGCTGAACCTTGCCTGACACCTGTGTCCACTTGCCAGGAGTTGGGGTCACAGCTGTGTCTCACCCTGAGTCTTGTCACTTTATATCCTGACAGTTTGTGATTCGCTGCCTCTCAGTCTGGAAAGCGACACCCAGCTTCCTGATGGAACTGTCTTTTATTTTCTGTGCTGTTGCTGCACTTTCCTTTGTGTTTGCAGGTGTGGGACTCCTGCTCAGAGGCCTTGATAATGTTCGATAAGGATGACTTAGATGACATGGGCTATATAGTGGAAAATGACGTTATCATGCATGCCCTGACTAAACAGCTGGAGGCTGTGGCAGGTGAGCTACCATCTCATTTCCTCTGGGAAGTGAGTGCCTTTGTATTTGCCAGAGGAAAAGACTCATCCGTAGATGCTAAATAGCCTCTGATAGCCTGGCATGGTGGCACACTTTAATGCCAGTACTTGGGAGGCAGAGACAAGCAAATCTCTGTGAGTCTGAAGCCAGCCAGGAAAAGGAGAGATGAAATCCTTTCAGGACTTAACCTTTCTTTCTATCAGTTTTATTTAGAAAACTTGCATATCATAAAACTCTTGTATTTACATGTGTAACTCAGTGACTTTCAGTGTATTTATAGAGTTGTGCAACTGTTGCCACAGTGTCCTTTAGAGTGTTCCATCACCTCAGAAGGAAACCGCACACCTCACACCTACTTATTCCTACTCATTTCTCACTCTTACCTGAACTTTGGCTTTTATCTTTCTTTTCTTTTTTTCTTCTTCTTTCTTCTTTTCCTTTTGGAGAGAGGTTTCTCTGTGTGGCCCTGGCTGTCCTGAAACTCTGTTTGTAGACCAGGCTGGCCTCAAACTCAGAGATCTGCCTGCCTCTGCCTCCCAAGTGTTGAGCCTAAAGGCATGTGCCCCCTCCCACCCCCAGCAATTCCTTTTATCTTTCTGGAGTTGTCTGTTCTCAAGAGCTCAGGGGTGTGGATCATACCATTGTATTAATGTGTTAGACTCCTCTCAGCATGGTTTTGAGATTTAGTCACATTCCAGCATGTACTAGTAATACACTCCATTTTATTGCTGAGTAATGTCTCATTGTATAGATATATCAAATTGTATGTATTCAACAATTAACAAAATTTGAGTTGTTGCCACTTTTTGGTAGTTGGTAAATAGTGTTGTGAGTACTTTGTGTCTAGATTTTGTGTGGATGGATGGTTTATTGTTTTGTGTTTTTTCTGGTACTCAGGATTGATGCAGGGTCTTGAGACAGCTAGGCAGTAGCTCAGCCCCTCAGCCATTTTCCCAGCTCTTATTTACCTTTTGCTTTGAACAGGGTTTCACAACATTGCCCAGACTGTATGTACTTCAACTCACTCTCTAGTCTAAGCAAGCCCTAAGTTTTAAACTCTAGTCTCAACCTCACAAGTAGCTTGTTCCAGCAGGCCTAGCAACATGCATTTTCACTTGTCCTGGTTGGACACTTGGAAGTGGAATATTGAAGTCATATAGTATTTCTGTAGTTAACACTCTCAGAAATTGAGAATTTGTTTTCCAGAGGTTGCATCATTTCACCTTCCCCCTAGTTTCAGTATTTCAGTTCTCCACATCCTTTTCATTACTTATTTTCTTTTAAATTACAGCCACCCTACTATGGCCCATTGTCATTCTGACTCTATTTACCCAGTGTGCTTAACGTCTAATTGTATATTTGCTTTAGAGAAATGTCTGTTTAAACATTTAAAAATTATGTCATTTGTCTTTTCGATTTTGAGTAAGAAGAGGTCTTTGGCCGGGCCGTGGTGGTGCACACCTTTAATCCCAGCACTCAGGAGGCAGATGCAGGCAAATCTTTGTGAATTTGAGGCAAGCCTGGTCTATAGAATGAGTTTTCAGGACAGCCAAGGCTACACAGTGAAACCCTGTCTCAAAAAAACAAAAAGAATAAAAAATCTTTTGATGTGTAAAACATATTTCAGCTTGTGGTGTCCCTCCTCCTTGCTCAGATGCAGAATGAAACTAGGAGAAGAGCTCTCCTCCAATCCCCAATATGTGTGTTGGGGTGTTGTTGAGATAAGAGTTTCACTGTGTAGCCCTGGCTGGCCTAGAACTCCCTAAGTAGACCAGGCCTCAAAAACTCATAGAGATGTGCCTGCATCTGCTAGAATTAAAGGCGTGCTCTCCCGTGCCCGGCTGTGCTTTCTCTCTTTAACTTTCTGACATCAAGTCCTTCCCTGGCTTCTGTTCTTTACCAGTAGCTCCTGGGCCAGAGCATTAGTCATCTGAGTTACTTTTAGGGTCTTGCTTTTCTTGCTTGTCAGTAAATGACAGGAGAGGGCTAGCCAGAGACCTTGCTTTTAGGTTACTTACTTTTAGGTTACTTACTTTCTGATGTTTTGCTTCTTTTTCTTTTGACTCCTCTAGACCGCGTGAGGGTTCTCTACAGGAGCAAAGCTGTTGGCTATGCCTGGCCTCTTCCATTTTCCATGGCAGACTCCAGCCCTTGGGTCCATATTACCCTAGGTGATGGCAGTACCCTCCAGACCAAACTGTTGGTAGTTGAAGATTCTTGCTTTGTCAGGGGTCTTGCATGTCCACATCTTACACTCTAGGGCTTGTAGTTTCAGATGGAAACAGTGGGTTTATTTTACGTTATTGTTTCTAGAATGACCAGTCCCTATTCAAGGCAGCCGGAGCTAAGATGGTCGTACACCTTCTGGACTGGGAGCAGCCTCATGGGCCAGCTTAGGATAGGATAACCAGACTTCTAGGCAAGACAGTATAAGAGTGTTGAGACCTCAGGGCTGTTCTTTTTCTGTCACAGAAGTCCCAGTGTCATTCATCTGCTTGCAGCTCTCATTTTCCCATTTTTCTCTGTTTCTGTTTTGTCTTTTAAACCCCAGTGCCTGTTCTGTGCCTAACTTTTCTCTGTAGTTCGTATATCAAGAGACTGGTTGAGTATGGTTGTTGCTGGCACCTCTTGGTTCAGCTACTTTAGTCCCATTAGCTCAGGCTGGGGTCCAATTCTGTAACACTTCCCTGTAGGGGCTGTGAGTGGGACAGGCTTGATAGTTTCCCACCATGGTCAGGACTTACAGTTGGGACTAAACAAAAGGACAAAACAACTTCTGGAGCAGCTTGACTTAGGACGTGGTTATAAGACTTAGCAGGCTCTTGTCTCCATGCAGATTGGAGCTGATGGGCACAACTCAGGAGTAAGGCAAGCTGCTGGGATCCAGAATGTCAGCTGGAACTATGACCAGTCTGCTGTGGTGGCCACTCTCCATTTATCAGAGGTAAGCTCTTGAGCTGCCCACCCTGGGACCTTGTTCTGAGCATTCAGTACCTCTTACAAGAACTTTTCTTTTATTCTAGGCCACAGAAAACAATGTAGCCTGGCAGAGATTTCTTCCCTCTGGGCCTATTGCCCTGCTCCCGGTAAGAGAGCCCCTGGCCAGGTAGCGCAAAGGTAGCCGGCCTTAAGTCTTTAGAATAGTACTTTCTTTCAGCCTGGTTTAAAGGGACTATGTTCCAGGCATACATTGCTGCTTTATCTGTTTCCTTTATGGTTGAAAATGCACAAGTTCAGAAGAGCAGGTTTTTGTTGCTCTTGTTTTTTAGAACAATACCCTAGGCTGACCTGACATTCACTTCTGCTGCAAAATGCTGTGATTGCAGACATGCGCCACCACACAGGACTGATGCTCTTCTTTTGATACAGCTGTCAGATACCTTGAGTTCCTTGGTTTGGTCCACATCACATGACCATGCAGCAGAGCTGGTCGGCATGGATGAGGAAGAGTTTGTGGATGCCATCAACTCTGCCTTTGTGAGTATCACCTTGTCCAGCTACTGGTATGCTAGGGAAAAAGTAAGCATGCAGCTTCCCCTTAGCAAGTGCAGATCTGTGGTGGCACACAGGGAAGTGCAAAACCATGGACGCTGTGGGCTGCTGTGCTGATGGAAAGGCCTGCCAAGGTACGTGGGTCACTTAGTGTATATCCCTGTGCAGTGCAGCAGCTTTGGAGTAGTGCCTTCTGTGTAATAGGCTCTGCACAGACTGCTGAGAGCCCCTGCCTTCAGGAAGTACACAGTCAAGAGAAAGAAAAGGATAACTAAGTATAGTAACAGATGTGTGCATAGGATGACGTGGGAACAGAGAGGGTTTCGAGGTATTCTGGTGAAATAGATTTAGAAGGTTATTCTGTGCTTCACCTAAACTTAAGAGGCAGAAGGAGAGCACAGGCTGAGCTTCACTTAAGCTAGTTGATGGTTATTGCTAGGGACCAATGAAAGGTAAAGTTCAGTTTTAGTCAAGGGCTAACCCAGAAACACTTGGCATGCTCTGAACTAAAACCTTCAGGGAATGCTGGGAAATGGAGTTTTCCATTATTTCAGTGGAGTTGTCATTCATGAACAAGATCAGTTTAGGCATGTTATATCACATTACCCTTAACTCTGGTTATAAAAAAGGGTTCTTTGTTTACTGGTCACTAATCACATTTCACTTTTTTTGGGCCGATGGCATGCAGTGGAGTGATGCTAACCACACAGACTTCATTGACTCGGCTAGCACCATGTTGCGCTATGCTGTCTCCTTTCTGAAGCCCACTAGGGTCTCAGCTCGTCAATTGCCCCCAAGTGTAGCCAAGGTGGATGCTAAAAGCAGAGCCCTCTTTCCTCTGGGGCTGGGACATGCTGCTGAGTACGTCCGGCCTCGTGTGGCACTCATTGGGTAAGCACATAATGGAGTAGGCCACTCCTTTCTGAGCTGCTAGAGGCCACACCTGAATGTTGCTTTATTCTTAGTGACGCAGCCCACAGAGTCCACCCACTTGCAGGACAAGGTGTCAACATGGGCTTCGGGGATATTTCCAGCTTGGTTCGTCATCTCAGCACAGCAGCCTTCAATGGGAAGGACTTAGGTAAGCTTTCAGATACCCTGACACGGCCCTGGGCAGCATGATGCAGTAGACCCTGCTGGGAAGAGGGGGAGGAGGAGATCTTTACCATGGGAGTAAGGGTTTACTCTTTCCTCTTGCTTTTTAACTGCAGGCTCCATGAGCCACCTCACAGGGTATGAAACAGACAGACAGCGGCATAATACTGCTCTTCTGGCTGCTACTGACTTACTGAAAAGGCTCTATTCTACCAGGGCCACTCCGCTGGTGTTGCTCAGGACATGGGGCCTGCAGGCAACTAATGCGGTATCTCCTCTCAAAGTAAGTGCTCGTGTACGGCTCTCCGGGATTTTTCTTAACTGAGGAAGGACTGCAAAAGTTCTAAATGTCTTGACATTAAAAGCAGGTGCTGCCATCCACAGCCACCATACCCAGTCTGCCTTCCCCGATGGGTATGACTGAGAAAACCTGCTTAGATGTGGATTTGGGGGTGTCCACATCTAAGCAGTAACTTGAAATATGCAGGAAGAGCTTAAGAATACAGGGCTGGGGTGGAGAGAGGGCTCAGTGGTTAAAAGCACTGGCTGTTCTTCCAGAGGGACAGAGGGACCTTGGTTCAATCCCCAGCACCTACATAGTGGCTCTCACCCATCCATCACTCCAGTCCTAGGGGATCCAATGTCCTCTTATGGCCTAAGTATGCTAGGCATGTGTGTGGTGCACAGACATACACATAAGCAAACCAGATATAAATAATTTTAAAACAAAACAACAACAAAGAGAAAAACAGGCCCGGAGAGGAGGCTGAGCAGTGCCTGATATTTTCCCACAGCTCAGGCCATGTTGGACGGCTCATGACAGGTATTGGGACCGTCTTCTGGCCTCCTCAGGCTTCTGTGTTCATGTGTATACATGCCATAGCCAACATGTGCGGGTCAGAAGACAACCTTCAGGAGTTAATCTCTCCTTCCACAGTGATTCACAGGTTGTCAGGCTTGTGTGGCAAGTGCTGAGCCCTCTTGCTAGCCCTGATCTTACAGCTGAAATAAAGCAGGGACTTCTGGGAGGAGTCTCTATGGGACCTCTGCCATGTTTCTCCCGTAGTCACCTTGGATATTTAAGTATAAAGTCACCTATCCTCTGACCTCCAGTAACCAAGTACCACTCACTTCCTTTCTTTTTTCTCTAGAAACAGATTATGGCCTTTGCCAGCAAATGAGCACTCCTCTTCTGGGATCGTGTTGATGACAGGGAACATCTAGTCCTGTGACGTCACATGCCTTTCCCTTATGGTTTAATAAATTTACACTAGAACTTGTATCTCTTTTCCTCTTCTGATTAACAGGCCTGTGGAGCCAAAACAGTGAGTAACAGCTAAGGAAAAACTCAAAACTATTTTATTGAAAAGAGCTTTTTATTATTAAACAAATCACAAAGATGTTCTCGCCCTCATTTCACTTGGTAACAATCCTTTTTAAATAGAATACTTTAATGCTGGTCATAAAATTCTTATCTTGACAGAGTAAGAATTATAAGAAATACCTGATACATTTTGTTAGATTGTTGTTTTAAGACTAACACTAGCATGCCAATTAAATTGCTTTGTTACAGTACACTGTATTTAAGGGGGAAGTGAAGACAATAACAGCCAGATCTGCTTTTCTACTTGCTACTACAGTACCACATTTGTTTACGGCTCCTCTCTGGGATGTCTCTGTTCAGTAATAAAACAATAAATAATCTCATTGCACACAGCTGCAGAAGTCTCACGACCCAGTCAGAAGGGAGCCAGTCAGCTGCACAAGTCCTCCATGTGTGATGGCAGGAGTGGCTCATTACTTGGCTTTTGAAGCACGTACTGTACAGCACTGGAGAGGCCTCCAGAAGAGGCTTTTATGTGTGTTAGACGAGAGCGCTCCTGAACATCTTGCCTAGAAATCTGTTTTGAAAACATGAAGAAAGCTAAACTGTTTTGAAATAGCTTTGAAGGGATGGGATGGCTGTTGCTACAGGGCGCTTTTTAAACAATGTGGAAAACTTAGTACAAAGTAATATCAGTAAACCTAGAAAATGTCCCCAGAATAAAAGATGGCAGCTGCTGAGGAAAGTGATGGCCAGAGACAATCAGGGCAAGGTCACCTTTTGCAAAAGAGGAACCCTGTTAAGATTCCTGGCTCCATTGTATGAAAAAAAAAGTTAAAAAGATGAGAATTTAAGGCACACTTTGCAAGGACATCTGTGACTAAGGTGTTCTTCATATAATAGTGATAACATACACAGCAGACCACATGCCTGGTATTCAACATACATTAATGTTTTCAAAGAGATGGAACTTGCCAGCAACATCAGAACACAAAAGACCCCCTTAAAGGGGCGGGGGGAAAGGCCCATTTTGCCAGGTAGTGATGGTGTACACCTTTACTTCCAGCACTTCGGAGGCAGAGGCAGGTGGATCTCTTGAGTTTGAGAGTGAGTTCCAGAACAGCCAAGACTATGCCAAGAAACCCTGTCTCAAAAACAAAAACAAAACAAACAAAAAAAAAAAAAACATGAGGAATATTAACATGGTATCTGCAGATAAGTTTCTGAAGTGAAAGTACATCTATTTAAGAGTTCTGGCATTATCCAAGGCAACCATAAGGTCTGTGGGACAACATGCACTTTATAGCTATGGCCCCTGTGTCTGAGGAATCAGAGGCCAGATGTGGTAGACTCATTCATCAGCTCAGGTTGTGTGCTTTGTCTTTTTAGTGCTGAGAATAAAGTCTAGGGTGTGACATGCTAAAATACATTTTGCCATTGAAATCTATTTTCTAACTCCTCTCCCCTTAACAACTTTTTTGAGTGCTGTACTGAGTTGCTCAGAGTGGCTATGCAGCAAACCCACAAATTGTAATCCTCCTGCCTCAACTCCAGTGTAGCTAGAATTATAGGCCTATGTAGCAATGCCTGTTGTATAGGAACCTTTAATGAACATAGCTTACTCTTAGGAAAACAGCTTGGGTTTTTCAACTGTGATAACATTTAGTGGATTACAACTGGTCTAAACCTTTTTTTTTTTTTTTTTTTTTGACATAGTAAACAGTCTAGAAAGTATGCTGCCTGTTTTTAAAAAGCCATAAAAATTCAATTATCTTCAGAGAGTCTGAAAGGCTTTGGAGTAGGAGACGGCAGAATTAAGATGACTGAAGAAAAAAGTAGACCTCAGCTACTGGAGCCATAAACATCAGTGACAGCCTAAGCGGAAGGGAGCTGTTTGCAGTGCAGAAAGTCTGTGTTACTGCGTGTGAGCCCAGTTTTGAAGAGGACAATGAATATAAGCGGTGAAGGTGTACTTAATAACAGAAGCCTAGGCGGGGCTCAGCAGGGCCTGTCTGTAGTCTCTGCTACTCAGTGGTTTGAGGTGAGAGGATCACTTGAGTCCACGAAGCTCCAGGCTACCTGAGCAACAGTGAGACACAGTCTCAAGCCACTCTCGGTGTGAAGGGTCTGAAGAAATTCCACCTTTAATCAACACAACCCCCTAACACTGGGGAGGTAAGGATATACTCATTTGCCTGCTTTTTGCACACAGTAGATGGTAATACTTATTGGCTCAATGTAATGGCTTCAAAAATAAGGTTTCCTAGGGACTGCCACGGGGCCAGGCATAGTCACATCCTTTGTGAAGAGTGGAAGGAAAAGGGGTTGATTGACAAGTTAGGGGAGAAGAAAACTTTCCTGGAAAGAGAAGAGGAAGAGGTAAAGTGCTATGCCAGGAGCTGAGCAACAGACCTTTCACACCCAGAACAACCGTGCAAGGAGGCCAGCCAATGATGGTCAGACAAGACAGGACAAGATGACAGAAGTTTAAAATGTTTACGATAATGGTCTTCAGCGGGTTAAATATGTAGTAGAGCACCCATGCCTAGCATGCATGTCGACCTGTGTTCAACCTCAACACAGAGAATGTCCTGAGAGAGAAAATACGGTTCTCTAGAAATGCTAGTCCTTGTGCTGGCATGGACCAGCATGACCAAAATAGCCAATCAAATCAAATGTTGGGTATCATTGGAAAGGGGATCTGAAATCCTGAGCTGGGTAATAAATTCAGAAAATAGTAACTAAAATCAGCAAGGGCCCAAACAGGAAAGCACTACTATAAAAGAAGCGTTGTGGTAGCACATTGTGCCCACAAGCAAGAGGTCCTGGCACTCTCCATACCCCGGCCCCCGTAAGGCCAAACTGAAAGCATTGGCAATCTTTAGACTCAAATAGCACATACACTAGCTTCTAACCACAGACCAAAAACTAGGTATTTCACAGAAATACAAAGGTCCTAAGGTTACGACCATGTTTAATTCTGTAAACACACTGGCGTGGGAGGCAGTGCTGGCACTGGAGTGAACTGAGAAGCTGAGTGAAGGTGGCATGTGAGCAGCAGCCATGTTCTGTGACAGCTGCCCCTTGAGACAGCGGCTCCTTTCTTACAGCTCTAAACCTTGGCACAGTTAAGAACTACTCTCTTGATCTTGCTAGCTCACAGCTGTAATCCCAAGATTCAGGAGGCTGAGGCAAGAAAATTGTTAATTCAAGGCAACCTGAGCTACAAAGTGAGTTCCAGGCCAGCCTGAGTGACAAGACCCCTATCTGAAAATAATAATCCTTAGGGACAGCTTGAAGCTCTACATTGTGCCACAGGATCACAAATATTCTTATGCAGTATCTCCATTCCCCCTCTGAATTACAAAAACCAGAGATTCCCCCCGACACACACCCTGTTTTTTAGGGTGGGGAATGTAATAAGGGTAAGAGGAAGAAAAAAAAAAATACCACTATTGGTAGGTTATGGGACTTCAGGGAGTCAACTTAATTTAGCTTGTAAGCAAAAAAGAAAAACATTTTAAAAAATGAGGCACTGCAAGGGTTGAAATGAGATTTTTCTTTGGTTCCCAGGGACCTGTCTCTGAACTTTTAGTCTAACTAACGTAGAGATCCAAACCTTTTTTGATTCTTCTTCACAGGACACTGACATACAAAAAAGTCTCAAAAGATATGCACTCTGGTGCCAGCCACGCACCTGCCAAGTGGCTCGGGAGCCATTCACATTAGAAGTGCAAAATTATTGAAGCCCAAATCACTAGGCTCAAGGGCAAGACTCGTCTATAGCCCCCTCCCTCATTATAAGGCCAGCTAATGGGCTTCAGTGCAGGCTTTCTCCAGAGTCTTTCAGAAGATGCCTGAGTCGTCTTCTTCCTGTGAGGAAGCTGTTGAGAATGCGGGCTTCAAAGGATGTACTTGGCCTCAGCTGGAGATGCCCAGAGACTGCAGCAGGTGAAAGGTGGCTCCCAGGGCCCAGCCCGTCTCTATGTTGTTCACTTTCTTTGTGAGCTGCGGAAGGAGAAAAAGAGTCTTCACATTTCCATCCAGTTCTGAACATGAGCAAGCATGGCTGTTGGACAGCTAACACCTTTAAAGAGCACTGCTGTGAAGCCCCAGTGCCCCTATATCCAGCATGTTCAGAAGTGGTCTATCCATGCATTTTTAGAGAGTCTGTCAGATGGGCTTGTGAATGTTCCTTAATCTCAACAACAACAACAACAACAAAAAAACATCACCCTTTGCTTCATCTTCTAAATCACCAATTTCTGATAAGGCAAATCATGGATGTGGTAGGAATGGAATTGGCATGGGCTGGGAATGTATTTAGGGTGGAAAAGCACATTCTCAGCTTTCAGACTATGTAAGCAACTGTCCCTTGAGCACTAATAACAATCAACTGAGGCATTCTGCACCAGATTGTCTTGGTAGCTCAGTGCCTTCATTGCTTTGGACAAAACTTTAGAGCTGATTCCTCAATTACTGAAAAAGGTGTTAGTGTTTATCCAATTGTTTTCTTCTCTCTCTCTGAGACAGGGTTTCTCTGTGTAGCCTTGACTGTTCTGGACTCCACTTTGTAGACCAGGCTGGCCTCAAATTTACAGAGATCCACCTGCCTCTGCCTCCTGAGTGCTGGGATTAAAGGCGTGGGCCACCACACCTGGCTTCAAATTGTTTTCTTTAGACTTTTTCTTATTCCTCACTGATTTCAGCACATGTACACTCTGCTTCATCTATGATAAGCTATTGGTTGTAAAAATAGGTCTTTTAAAAAAGCTTTTTCAGTTTTACTATCTTTGAAAATTATGTGTGTATATAAGTGTCTGCCTGTGGGTATGTGCCCAAGAGTGCAGGTGCCAGTGCAGACCAGAGGTGTCGGAGCTCTTTGCAGCTGGAGCCACCTGAGGTAGTGCTAGGAATTGAACACTCATCCTCTGGAAGAGCAACAAGCATTAACTC